TCTCGTGTTGAAGCTTTTCTATTATGAGTGATGTCCTTAGAAATTTGCATAAGAAAGCTAGTAGGTCCAAAAAATAATTCACTTGATCAAACACAAATCTCGATCCATTTTGAAATTGGATAACTTCTAAAATCAATCACATAACCGCCAGAGTTTGAATTTAAGAAAAGTTATGGCCGAAATGAATGCCTTGACATGACAAGCTAAATGTTATTAGAAGTGATCTAATTTGACCCAAACGAGCCTAAATTAAGCATTTGAGCATAATTGAAAACTTTATGACACAAATTAAATAATTAAATGATCTCAAAATCTAGCATAATTATCATTTAAGTGAGCGTGTGAACAAAAGAAAAATTCAACAAGCCCAAAATTGCTTAATTTGACATTATTTAGACACTCAAATACTCAAGAAAATTAAGGTTCAATCCATAAAAAAAATATCTTGTTATTTAGGTTTACAGGGATAATAATTAAAGGTCTGTTTGGCGCGGCAATATTCGCGCAGTTCGTCTTGAAAATGTTGTTTCGTGTGTTTGGTAAATACGTCGCGGCGATTTCCTTAAAATTTTTTGATAAAACGCGATCGCGAGTTCGACTCCGCAACCCGTGTTTCTGGCTTGCTATTTACCCACTCCACGCCACCCCCCTTGTCCCTCTTCTCTCGTTTCTTCTATCCCTCTCGACCCAGCTCCATCTATCGCGATTCTTTTGCCCTAGGTACCTCTCTCCCTTGGATTCGTGGCTCTGAAACAGTTGGCTATTGTTGGTTGCAAGTGGTTGTTCCGGTGACCCTTACATTCTTCTCCCTCTCTCTTTTCTTTCACTTGATTTTTGGTGGTTTTGTGCACTCTGTGCTCTGTGTGGTGGATTACTTTCTTTGGTTGATGATTATTGCGGTGATGTTTGTATTCTCTCTTCCCCTCTCCCTTTTCTTCTTTGGCTCTGTTTGGTAGTTGTGTGCGGTATTTCTTTTTTTACCTCTCTTCTTTGTTCTTCACCCTCTGCAATATCTCTCTTCTCTGTGTGGTTGTGCGTTATGCTTGTTGGTTTCTTCTTTTTGATATCTTTGTTTGCTCGGTTTGATGGTTTTCGGTTTGATATGTTTGGTTTGGTGGTTTTGATGATTCATGTTGCATGCATAATGGTTTTAGTTATGCTTTTGTTGCACCGTGAATTGCGATTTCAGTTGGCAATGTTGCTCAATTGGTGCTTTGCGGTGAGCTTTGGATTTTTGATTATTTTGTTGTTAGCAATTCTTTGAGTGCCCTGTATGTGGTATGTTCGGTTTGTGGATTTGATCTATTTGTTTTGGTTTTATTGGGATAATTACAGACCTAGCACCCTAAGCAGTGGTTCTCGATATCTTTGTTGTGAATGATCAGTGCTTTGCTGTGATCTTTGAATTTTTTAATTATTTTTGATATGTTAGTGGGGAATTTCAAAATCGGAAGAAAGTTGGGCTCAATTTGTTAATAGCAATATTTCAAGTGTTGTGTATGTGTTGAATATGAGTTCGCATTTTAAAACATGAATTTGGATATTTGAGTTAGAATTTGAGAAATGAGTGAAAGTTATTGTTGGATTTGTTAATAGCAATATTTCGGGTGTTGTATTTGTGTTGAATTAGGGTTGAAATTTTAACATGAATTTGGATATTTCAGTGAGAATTTATAAAATGAATAAAAAATGGTGCTTAATTTGTTAAAAGGGGCAAAATTATCATTTGTCCGAAAACAGCTGCAACACAGTTGTTTTCAAACTACAAAAAATAAACAGACAATCAGCTTATCCATAACAGCTTCTGCGCAGCAACTTCCTGTGGCAGCTGCTACGCAACAACTCATTATTAATTTACAACTGCTCCAAACAGACCCTAAATCTGACAAACATTCCACAAACTGTTTTCAGGAAAACTCAAAACCATTCTTAAGTTTCATTTATAAGAAAATGAAAGGTTTACTTCCCTAGAATCATTTGCTAGTAAAATGTGCTATCACATGAAATAAAATGGTTATCTATAATTTAATATGTAATTTAGGAATTTAACTATTGTTTTTATCAGTTTTTAGAATAGTCTTATCATCCATCAATGTATCCCTCCCTTTCTGCATGATTATATAAAAAAATGATGTGGTTTGGTTCAACAACCAAATTAATGTGGTCAATGCTGTTTGATTAAAACAGTACATAAATAAATAAAAGTGGGATCGGTTAAAATTACAAATCTGAAAAAGCGCTTTAAAATTAGAACATGCTTTGCTCATGTAAACATTTTATAAATATTAAACACATAATTCATATTTTAAAAAAAGTGAGGAATTTATCTAATCAAAGTGTGATTACTGAATTCCATAATGACCTGATGTTTAATTTTACATTTTTTTAATCAGGGCGATTCCATAATAACCACCTGATGTTTAATTTTACATTTTTTTAATCAGGGCCAACCTATCAATTTTCATATATACCATAATAAAATTTCTTGAATCATAGAAAAATACTTCTAAAATTGAAATTGAAGTTATAATAAAAAATTGGAAAATATAGAAAAAAGTTTTCTTTTACACATTTACCTCTGTGTTTTGGATGAGATGATGGAGCTATCATGGAGATCCTTCCATTATGGGAGCAAGTTGGTAATCAACTTCCATGCTTAAGATAATCCAAGCTTAGAAAAAATTTCCTTCCTACAATATTCTTTTATCATCTCCTGCTTTCAAGCCAACCAAAGGGGCTCCTGTTGGTTGGGTCTGGTTAGTTTATAAAGTTGATCTGATTAGAAATACCCTTTCTTTTCTTTTCTTTTTTCAGGCATTTGCATACATACAACACAATTCTTATGTATTTACATATCCTAACATCCAAGCATTCATATTTACATGCTATCGACTCAAAATCTTTTACATCAAATCAAAAATACCATCATCATTATTTTTTGAACAGTGAAATTCATCTTTTCATGCAGAGGTGTTGAAGTGTAAATATCAAACTTTGGATGTTAGATATGTAAATACATAAGCATGGGGGGTGTGCGTGTAAATTTCCCTTCTTTTTTCATTTCATTTTCATTACAAAACAAACTGTTGAGCTTTTCAAGGGAAATTTTATCATAATTTTGAACATCGTTATGGAGCTTGGTGAAATTTACCCATTTTTCCAGTTATCTTCTTCGATAAATATTGTCATATCTATTGCTACTGATTGATTCTACGACTTCACTGACAGACAAAGTAATTTCTACTTTGTATAAGCTGCGATGTTTCATACTACATTAGCAGACCCACTATGCTAGTTTATACTCCACCGTTGGGGAGGAAAAACTGAGAGAAGATGAGAAAGATAAATGGAAGATTTACATGCATACCACTCAATTCCTATGTATTTTACCTGTCTAACTCGTAAAACTTCAATTTTTACATATATGCCACCTTAACTATGCATGAAAAGGTGTATTTGACTTTTTAAAATTTAGAAGTAGTGGTATTTTTTATTTGAAAGATTTGGATGGCAGCAATGTAAAAAGTAAAGTTTAGGTGTTAGATATGTAAATACATAGTAAGTGGTATGTACGTAAATGTCCCAACATAAATTTGGGGTTTCAGTTCTTCATTTGTGTCTAATATAGTACATGGAATTCAGCTAAGTAGTTTTTTTTTTGCTTATTTTCTTTTCAATGCCTGGAGAGGGTTGCTGTTTGAGAATTTCTGTGTATTGCCGCCTCTACTTAAGACCATTAGTCTGTTTTTAGGAATTATCTTTTGTTCTTTTGTGTTGTAATGGAAGGCATAAGATAATGTAGTTCTACATGATAAAAGTAGAAATTAAGAGCTGCATATGATGGAGTATTCCAATGAAGATCATGATCTAAGGGAAATAATATATAGATAGAAGTTCTTATTATGCCTTGACATGACAGATGACTATGAGATTATTATTATTATTTTTTTTGGGTGCATTTTAGAACATTGTAATTTGTAAGTTAGTGGTGTAAAAAATTAACATGCTATCATAACCAGACCTGGAATGAATTGTAGAAGTCCAAGTTTGGGTACCTGATTAAATTTTTGATTGGGTTAGGGTCTAGAATCCTGATCCAATTACTTTCTTTGGACAGGTTCGTTTGACCTGCCAACTCAAAATTGACCCATCAACCAAAATGGACCTACATTTGACCCAAATGACCATTATTCTTTATGTTTACACCGGTTGAGTTTGAGTCAGTCGGGCTAAAGTCAGGTCAGGTCAGGTTCGGGTTAGATTTTTCGACCCGTTTAATAAACATGTCAGATCCAGGTCATACTTGGGTTCTCAGATTCAAACCTGACCTATTAATTCGAATTGACATCCTTGCTGTAAATGAACTCCTTTTTAAAAATTCTGTTTTCAAGTTGTCTAGGACCTCACGCACTGGCCATGCCCTTTTTAATAGCAGTGTCTGAATTTATGGGCTGCTTGCTGGAATTAGCAAATCAATAAATATTGATATCCGTGGTCTAGAAACCAAGCCTTTAATTGGATACAAATATCCAGCAAAAAGGATGGATGTATAATATTGAGGGATTAATTTCTCTTCATTGAAGCTATGCAAAGTTTTTACATTTTGAGGACACAGTCATGCAATAGGTTCTATCAGCTAAAAAGTATTTATGCAAATGGCTTGAATTTAGATGATTTGAGCGCTCACTTGCTCCCTCTCAAATATAATTCAATTCTCCATAGATATGATCCTTCAAGTGATGGGAATGCCATGGAGTTCTTTTATTTATTTACTTTTTTATGAACACCTTGCAGTCTGTAAAGTCTGTTAATAAATCATGCCTTCTCTTCCACCATAGATCCAAGGAAAAAATGCATATTTGCAACCTCAGCCAATTTTTAGTATTTCATAATATTTCGGTTTTGCAAGTTGTTTTCTGTTAGTCATATGATTGTATGGGAAACAAACTCTTTGATCTTCACTGACGGGTCTAGTCTTTCTGTTTTCTTTCTTTTACCAGCAAGAATGTGATGAGCTTGCTAGGAAGGTGGCTGAGCTGAAAGGTGAGAACACTTCATTAAGAATGGAGCTAGAGCAGCTTCACAAAGTTTGCAGGGATTTGGAAGCAGAAAATCAGCACATAGTGGTTAGTTAATCTTCACTTTTACTTTATTATTTTCATAATCTGGAGTTGGTTATCTACATGATTATATTACTTTTAATAACCCCTTAAAGATAGTCTAGTTACTCCAACATATGAACTTTCTTTCATTTAATGGGGATTTTTCTTTTTAGGCATTTACATACATACCACGCCATTATTAAACATCTACATATCTAGCACCTAAACATTCATGTAAATTACATGCATACCACTCAAATATTTAACATCACATAAAAAATGCCTCCAACGATGTATTTTTAATAGCAAAATGCGTCTTTTCATGCATAACTTTGGGTGTTAGATATGTAAATGCATAAGAATTGTGTGGTTTGTATGTAAATTTCCCTTTTTTTCCCCTTTGTCATCTTACCATCCTTTATACAGCTTCTTAATGTTCATTTGGGGCAATCACATATGGTTATATAAATAGTTGTCAATTTATTGTGAAAAAAGATTAAAATTATTTTTGGAGGTATTATATATATATATTGAGATATTCAATTATCATTTTCTTATTAGCTAGCACAATCATGCGAGCGTATTAGTTAAAAAAAATGGGATCACTTTTCCTTTAACTTTTGTTTTTTACTTTTATTTTTAAAATATGGTTTAGTTCACTTGTTTGAACTAAACATATAATCAAGATAATGTCCCAGCAATAAGATGCTCTCCTAATAGTTTAGTTCACTTGTTTGAACTAAACATATAATTAAGATAATGTCCCAGCAATAAGATGCTCTCCTAATAGATCCATAATATATTCAAAATACATCCTTATAAACAAAAATTTAATCTCATTGAAACAGGAAGAGCTCAGCAGCATCCGAGGAGATTCATCAGGCAGTTTGAAACAAGGTGTTGGTGATGTTATTGACCATATTCCTCTGAGCTCTACTGCCATATCCACCAACACGAACGGAAAACTTCATCATCTCGGTGGCAATCCTGATCCTACTTCCAGGTGAATTTGACCATTTCGTCTCGACTTATCGACAGCTAACCGGCAGTGGAACCTCTGCACCATTTTTTCCTTGCAGTTCCTAAATCAAAATTGCAAATTAACCACTATACTTTTGTAATATTTACTTTAATGCAGCCTAATAAACCATTTAGATGTAATTTGTGGGATTAGTTATCTTGTGTTGAGAGGGGAGAGCTTTGATGTTTAGTTGTTTATGTTAAAGAGTTTATGGAGTTTTAGTTAGGTTGGTAACCAAGCAAGCTATTAAAAGTGTTCCATAGTTGTCTTTTAACAGTTGGGGAAGTCCAACTTCAGCTGCAAATTGTAGTTGTTTTTATGTAAGAAATTATTTGGTTTGATGGATTTTCATTGTTAATGGTTAAATTTTGGCTTAAATGTTTATTTATTTTAATTTGTATGGAGTTGTTTCCTTGTTCAGTTTCTGCTCTCTGCACTCGAACCTTCCCGATTTTCTGCAACTTTAAAGATTGAATAAAATATATCTTTTTATCATTTCTGAGATTGCTTTAAGCTCAAGAGATTTAGATGTATAAACTGTTAGCATAATTACATGCATATCAGATGAAATATTGTTATTTATAAAATCTAGTATGTAGGTGATATTTTTGAGCTGCTGATCTGATTGAATCGTTGAGGATTTGATAAAAATGAAAAACATGGGTGAATTTTGCCATTTGAGTGAATTTGAAGATCGGATGTAAGAGTGTTGGTTTAGGAATAGATATGTTTCGACTCTTACGTTTGTAATGCTTATGTTTTAATCTGAAGGGCTTGCCAACATTTTTATGCACGTAAAAGAGTTAATAGAAATTATTATTTTTTTAATTATTTGGAAAAGCATAATTTATTGTTTAATGAATTTTAACGATTAAAAAAAAGGTGCAACTGCATGTTTAACACTTCAAACATTGTTATTGGCAAATCTAACATTCTCTTTCATTCATTTTAAAAATTCTCACTCATATATATTTGCCAAAATCTCAAACTCATATGTTAAATTTTTACCAAATTCTCAATTGTTTGATTATGACATGCACAAATGTTTCCCTTTGATAGTTCCAAAATAATCAACCGTGTTCCATCAAAACATTCTCAAATGAAGAAAGAATATCCCCCGTACTAAATGCATTGCACGCCAATGGGATCGATAGTTGCATTTTGAATTGCGTCAAGTCAACCAGGGAACTTGATTCTGTTTCAAGATGAGCTTGAACTTAATTTAGCTAATTTTAAGTAAAAATGTAATTATAAAAGACGGTTTTCAGCTTTGTTGTAACGTCAATTTGATGTGAAATAACTACACAATTGCATGCATGAAACTTAATATGCAATAAATCATCAACAAAATCCTGATATTAGACAAAAAGTAACACCTCTTCCATGTCTTTCTACCCATACATAACTGCAGTTAAAATTAAAAATATTAGTAAACTAAAACTAAAAAATTAATTGCAGAGAGACATTCACAAGACATTATAATCATTTTTTTCTAATCTGCATGATACAACGGATAATAATACAAATCAACTTTCAATCCCCGACATCAGAATGATATACATTACAAGCATTAAAAAGGAATAGAAAATATAGATAAACAGGATATATTTTCTTTTTTCAAATGATGTTTGCAAGGTTTATATCTTGGGAGTTGGGACATTAACCTACATACCACGTAATTCTTATGTATTTACATATCTAACACCAAAATATTGATCACTCAAAACCTTTAATATCACATAAAACAAGACCACCATCACTTTGTAAAAGTGGAAAACAGCTTTTCATTCATGGATTTATGACAACAAAGGTATTGTAAGTGTAAATATCAAATTTTGAAAGTTACGTATGTAAAAAATATAAGGATTGCGTGGTATGTATGAAAATTTCCCTTATATCTTTGATGCCTTGATCTCTATATATGGCTTCAAACTCTGTACAAAATTATGTAAGAAAAAAAAAAGAAAATTAAAGAAATAACCTCAAGCTGTGTTGGAAGTGATATAAGAGACGATGACTGTAATATCATCTGGTTTGCCTCCATAGTAACGATATCCAGCATCTTGAGCTGCGGTCGAAAACGGTGTCTGCCTGTTCTTGTCTTGAGCTCGCTGGCGAGCAAGAGCGGCGATTTTCTGAGCCGTGACCTGTGGTCCGAGCCTGGCTCGCATGGCATGAACAACGATGGCATTTATGTCAGTATTGTACAAATTGTCAAATAATCCATCTGTTCCAGCAACTATGACATCACCGGCTTCAACGGGGAAGGTAAAAACCTGCAAAAATGATTTGAAAATTAAAAACGATTAATTTTTACACTGCGGAGAGAGCTACTGATATTGGAGTTGACCCAAATAATAATAAGAATATAAATATTATTACTGAAAGCAAATATACAATTACAGCTAAACACACACTTGAAAAAAGAAATACAACAACATAAGCAAACAAGGCAAAATGTATCCAAAGGTGGTGGTCGGTTTGGTGAGTGGACGCCGGGAGGATGATGACAAGGCGGTAGATGGCTGTAGAAGGCGGAAGGGGAAGTTGAGGCGGGCTGCGGTGCGGAAAAGTGGAGGCTAGCCGGCTGAAAGACTGCAAGCAGGGGCTGTTTGGAGGGCTGAACAGCAGCAAACAGCCGGGAAGAACAGCTGCTCTGGGTGGTGGCGGCAAGCGGGAATGACAGCGATAGTGGCCCGGAATGTGTCGGACTAAGGAACAACAATAGAAGGGTTGACCCGGAGCTGCGGCAAGGAGGGGGGATGGCTGAACAGTGAAGATAGGCGGCTGGAATGAGTGACAAAAATGTGGCAGATGATTGGAAGGGATGGCAGCAGGTTGTGACTGGCGGTTGGAGTTAGAGGAAGACAATAGAAGTGTTCAGAAGTGTTGTTCGATGGTTCCGACAGTGAAGAAATGCAGCAACAACAGCGAGAGGATGGTTGTGGAGGATGGGAAGTCGAGGATAAATACTCCCTCAGAAACAAGCTACAGCGAGAGCACCACTCGACCCTTGGAAGAAAATTAATACCTTAGACGAACTACAACCAAAGCACCACCCGCATCTGGATGCAGCCCTAGAAGGGTGAAATAGGGATGCCGACGGCTGTCTTGGACACCACCACGATAAAAACTGCCCTAAAACACAAAAATAATTTATTTATAGACTTAGGGTAAATAGGAGTGGACCTCGCTCCAAATAGGAGGGACACATGCTTGGAAGGACCGGTCGGTCCATCTACATGAACAGAACCAGTTCCAAGGCAAATCAGCGGCACTTGCCACATCTGAGGCAAAAGACGCCCCAAGTTAGCAACATTCCCTATTTTTCATTCCATTTCTAGCTGCGATGTGCAAAGTATAAAAAATTATGGGCATTAGTATACCTACCACAAAATTCCTATGTATTTACAGATCTAACATCTAAATTTTGATTTTTATATTTATAATGCTCAAATCATTTATATCATATAAAAAATACGATTATTACAAGTAAACCTTTCAAAAAATTAACTGTTTTCTTATAATTTAAGGGTTTTTTGATTTACTGATTTAATGTGATATTTTGTAAACCTTTCAAAAATTAACTGTTTTCTTATAATTTAAGAGGTTTTTTGATTTACTGATTTAATGTGATATTTTGTTATTAAATTATGTCAGTAGTTTGGTTCATTGATACTTTTCAATAACATTTTAAGAAGTGACACCTAAATTTTATTTTGACAATATCGAGATGACTTTAAATCCTTTAAAGTCTAGATGCCAGGCTACATATGACAACTAAAATATATGACTGCAAAAAGTAAAATCATCATCTTTATTGATCTTTCAAGAAAGTCGCATTATTTAAGAGAACGAAGATGCAAATATGCTATATTTGATAGATACAACAATTAACTAAATAACATGTTTCTTTCAATAGTAATGTTGTTAGCATAATATTGAACTGAATAAACCTGAAACCCAATTTCATAATCATTTCCATGTTTTTGTTGATGACAAATACCGGCAAAAGCATATTCTATCAGAAATAATTTTCTGCTTAGTCCGAAAATCAACATCAAAGAATTAAATCCCATCAGTCCACTCGAAAAAAAAAAAGAAAAGGAAATCAAATGATATATGCTGAGCGTAGAAATATATAAAGCAGCGGAATGCCGTTAAACTATTTTTTTCCTATTATGTTTATCAGAGGGATAATCACAACTGCTGCTTTCTGATATGACCCTAAAAAATATAACAAAATTATATTTTAAGTGTTAATAGATGATTCGCGAGTAGCAACTGCCCAGTGACCGTTCTAACTTCTCTGCAAAACACCATTTTTTGGAGCCTCGAGTTACCCACTTCTTCTTCAGATTTCCCTAATGAAAAGAAGGTAGAAGCTGTGCAAGGACCAATGACTGTTAGCCTACATGTCTCCAAATACCTCCATACTCGCAGCAGTCAAACAGGCCCTTCAACTTTCCCTCCTAAGCCTTCTTCTTCTCCGTTTTCCCATGTCAATGGAGTCTACTATGCCTTTATGTCATCCACATTTCTTCAGCCGCTCTCTACCATCTGGGATACTCATAGTCATCAGCCTGCATGGAGTCTAGTGCAGCTTTTATGTTTTCAATAAAAGCAAAGTTTTTTTATATATATTTAATTTATCTTATTCAAGAAGAAAATGGGCTTTTAATAGAGTACCTAATATATTATTTACTCTAAAATTTGTTTGCAAAGTTTAGGAAGCTAATATCATTATTCTTCGTATAATTATTAAAATGTTTCCTTAAAGAACAAAACTTCTAGTTTTCTAGTAAAGATTTTTTTTTTACTCAAAGAGTTACTAACTCTGTGGTTATGAACCACGTAACACGTCACCACTCTTTGTACTCGTGATAAGACTTTGCATGAGTTCACCATATTTATCTTGTCCTGAAAATAAATTGCCTCTAACTCTAGCTCTTTCATTTCCATAGTTGTTGCAGTTCAGTAAGGAATTATATCCTATTCCCCACAGCATGTATCCGCAATAGGGGAATTAATTTACAGTTATATGATGCTGCTCTTGAAATGAATGCATTAAAATAAAGAAATAAAAGAAATGAGTAAGATATGATAATTTTATTAGACACTCAAATTAAAAAATAAATATCATAATCACACCATCATAAATTGTTTTAAGGTTTAACAATACCTATAGTCATATTTGCTATTGATATGTTCAACATGTGATATGATTTCCATTTATATTTTATAACTAACACGCATAATGTTTCTTTTTATAGAGTTACCGTGAATTATAACTATTATTATCACAGCGGGTTATTTTGATAAGTTATTAAGTTGCTTATTAAATAATTCAGATTTAAAATGAGTGAAATAACAGAAGCAATATTTCGCAGACGGGGTCACTAGGGAATATTATTTTGTTTATCCCTGGTTTAATACTTTTAAGATTTATAGCACATTTTTTCGTTTATGGATTCAGATAAATTAAAAAAATAAATCTATAAATTTTAATATATTAATCATCTAGACATAATAGCTATATGATTTACTCACCATCTGACCATCAGTTCCCACCTAGGTAATTGTGGAAAAACAGAAACAGGTTGCTTCCTTGAGTAGGCCGGCCAACCACCTACCTATCATGGGAGATTGAATTAGGAGATTACTTTGAAAACTCCTTAATTAGTTTAATTCTCTTCCTATTTATATTTTTGTTATTTTTATTTCAAAATTATTTCCTTTCCAAATTTAGATTAGAAATATTTGGTATGTTTGTAAAGTAGGAGAGATTGGTCTCCCTAAATATATGCACCATACATTTGAATAATAAAACTTAGTAAATTCTCCTCCCCAAACTTGTTTTATACATAGCATCAGAGCTAGGGAACAAACCCTAAATCATATTTCAGCCACCGGAGCGTCTCCAACACCAGACTAATGTTGAAATCCTCCCTGCAGTCGCAATCCAATTTGCAGGTCCTTCCCGACTCTGACTCCCTGTTTTGTCTCACAACGAGATCCTAATGCAACAGTTCTTCGTTCTCACGTGTGAAGTGATTTAACGACATGCACATCCTTTTTTGTTGTTGTGATTGCCTCCTTCTCACGTGTGGAGCAACTCAACAACACGCTTGTTTGAATCCTTCCTGTGCAAGCGCACATTACTTTCCCGGCAGCAGTTTTCTTATGGCGCCCGTGACGCTTTCTTCCACTGGATCCAAGCAACTTGGCCCAAGCAGACTGAAGTTTGATACCGCCTGGGGGTTTTTCTCTCTCCACTAGAAATCACCTCTTCCTTTCGGAAATAATATCTCCATAGAGGAAATCATCCTTCAACCAAAGAGTTCCTATGTTTGATTTCTGCTAGCTACACCGGATCCTCCTCAGCCAAAACTTAGATTTTTCCCTGCATGCCCTTCAGATTTCTCCGTATCGTCATTTGCTTTTCATGCAACAAGATTTCTCCACATCGGAAGGTGAACTTTTTCTTGCAGCTTTCCTTGCAGGCCGACAGGCTTCCACTATCTTCAATCGGCTTAGTCTTGCCACAAGAATTCCTACAACAATCGTGTGAAATCTTCTCGGTTGGCTTGCTAGACCCCACTGAATCTTCCCTGCATCCAGAGTTTTTATTGCAAATCTTCTTTTGTATTCCTCTGATGCTCGAACTCCTCGTTGCAACCGTAATTCATCCGTTGCAGGCCTTAACCAGAATCCCGTTGTAGTTCTCTGCAACCCGCAAAAAATTCCACATCCATAGCAGCCACAACCTCCTGAAGCTGCAGCAGCAACAACCCTAACCATGCATAGGGTTCATGGCCAAGTACGAGATGAAGATATCAAGCTCAGCTCTGCAGCTCAATTCGGAACTATTCACCAATGAACAACTTGAAGTGCTGTAAAAATTCTTGGAAGATAAATCAAAACGACATAACAACCTTGTGAGTAGGGGTGCAAGTGAGTCAAACTGACTCGTGAGCCAGCTCAAGCTAGGCTTGAAAAGTGACTCGTGAACTGAGTTTGATGAGCTAACAATCCAAGCTCAAGCTAGGCCTGACTCAACTCGTTAGCTTGTGAGTAGACTCGTTAAGAAAATATTAATATAAAATATACTCAAAATATATTGAATTTCAAAAATTTATCTTTAAGGTATTAAAAATGTTAAAAAAATAATATTTTTTTATTGTATATTAGAAGATTTCTTATTATTCATCTCCTAATAGTTCATTCTATTTGTCAACTTTTTATAAAGTTGTTGAAAATTAATATCATTTCTCCC